ATAGAGAAAAGTCGCATTTTGAGAAAACGGCCGATAAAGAAAAATAAAATACTGACTTTATGAGGAAATGGCGGTTACAAATATGCCCGGTATGGGAAAAAATACGGGTTTTTTTTGTTCTTATGCCATGAAATAGTTGTAGGAGAGGCTTAGGAAGCTAAAAATGCCTACAACTCAAATTCCATGATTTTGAGCCGAATTTTGATTTTGGGGGTGTAGCCCCCCCCCCTTAAAGAAATCATAGAGCTAAGATGTGAATAAAACTGTGCAAAACTGTTTTAAGAAATCATTTGCTATGATGTGTATAAATGTGTTTCCACGATTTGCTGTCCTTGTTGCAAGTGCCGAAAAACTTACTAAAATTAAAATGTCCATGTTGTGACTCACTATGTATGCGTGCGTGTTCCTATTTCCCCAGTCAGTCTCCCAGCAATGAGTCTGTTTCGGAAGTCCCAGTCAGAAGATGGCGTAGACCGCTACACCCGCCTGTGGTCAGTGCTGTTGCTGCTGACCCTTGCCCTGGTCACGTGGCTCCTGCCCTTTAGCCCCACCATCAGCTCCCTAGCAACACGGCCATCCGAACAGCCATTGAACAGACTGGAACCTCCGACCTACCACGCCAAATGCTGGGTTCCCAATGAGTTCACGGGTAGCTACGCAGACTTCGCAAACAGAATCTGTGCGTCGTTTGCGAACTCTGCTTACAGAGGAGAGAAGAACGTTTCTCTCTACCGCCTCACCGAAGACTCAGGACCAATAAACATCCCCACAATGGAGCGCTTCACGCCCAAACTCATGACAACCTCTAACTTAGAGTCAAGGTCACACAGACAGATGACGTCACAGGATTCAAGTCTTGGGCCAGATACGTATCTCTTCTTAGCAGTGACTGTCCCGCTGGCCTTGTTTCTCTTCGCCGTCTGCCTCAAACTGCCTCTCATCTTGTTCCGTCTGATGTCTGGTTTTGGAAGCATCAACGTTGACCGGACGCTGGACACAGCTCGTGGTGGCTTGACCCTTGACACAGGAAGTCGGCGACAGTTGAACTTTGACCTTAGTCGGGCTGCTACAGAAGCGGCCAAAACATCTCGCGGCGTGGCTCTGTCCTACTTGATGTTCAAACTGCTCCTGTGTGTAGTCACGCTGGTGGAGCTTGTGGTTCTGGGCTCTCTCTTGATGCCTCAGCTGACGCAGCTCAAGGACAGGAACGATAACCCAGGACTGGTCTACGGGACCAGCACCCAGACCTCTCCTGACCTGCACGGTAAAGCGTACGAGTTCGAGAACGACATGCTTCTCATCTGCGAGTTCGAAATCCGCCAGTTACAGAACGTAGTTACGTTTGACCTACAGTGTTTGTTCAGCTATGACGAAGGTGCTACCGCGGGTCACTCAAGAGTTGGAGCCGAAACCCAGCAGTTAGCTGGAGATGTGTTGAATGGCTACCACGCTCTGTTGACCGCTGTGTTGGCCTACCTGGTCATCCTGCTAGTGGTCAATGTTCTGAGTCTGATCACCTGGACGTCGAAACTTGTCTTCGGCATCTTCCGTAGCTCGTTGCTCCAGGGCTCGTCCTCACTGTCTCTTGACCTCTCCTTTCTGCTGCTCATGAGTCAGGAGAACAATGGCCCACTGGTCACTCAAGAACTGGCTGGACATCTGACCAGTGTGACCGGGCTAGATAGAGTAATGGACAAGAGGACAATTGAGTGAGGGTCAATGCCAAG